TTCATATATATATATTGATCTTACGAATGTTCACAATGTGGACATTGAAATTTTTTAAAAGATTTTGTGAATGAATTTTTATTGTTTGGTGTTGATTCCGATAAATTATTGATTTCTTGTTGATATTTCCAAAGACTTAAAATAATTGAAATTAGCTTGTTTTTTTTTTTTTTAAAAAAAAAAAAAAAAAAAGATTTTCATACGCATCATCTTCATCATCATCAATATCTTCTTCAATCATAATCATTTCATCATTTCCATTTGGAAGAACTTCACCATATGATTGTACATTATCAATTAAAAGTGCTGATAAACCATTATCATCATCGTTATTATTATTATTATTATTATGTATGACGTCTTCTTCTGTATGTGAAGAATAAGTTCTATGACTTTGTATTTCATGTTGTGAAATATCTTTTAACCAAGATGTTGTATATGAACAATATTTACATTGATATGTTTTTGTAAAATTTTCAACTGTTGTTGTTGTTGGTGGTGGTGGTGGTGGTGGTGGTAGTTGTGAAGGTAAAGACTTAACTTTAAGACGAATTTTATAATGTCCTGTTGCTGATGGTGGTAATGGTACATTTGTATCAAGTTTTCCAACATATCGACCAGCTTGTGCATGACTTATTTCATGTTTTCGACGTATATGTGCTGTACAATCATGAAAATTCTATTAAATAAAAATGTTTAAAAAAGGTTAGAAAAAAAATTGTTTTTTTTTCTTGGTTAAAATTACTTTATAAGTTAAATGACAAATTCGACATTGAAAATTTTTTTGAATTGGTTGTATTGTTGAAGAATAAAATGAAGGTGATGTAAGAGTAGGAGTTGAATTAATTGGTTTTGTTGGACTATTCGTACTTTTTGGTGCTATTGGTCGTTGTGAACTAATATTTGAATGTGCAAAATTTTCATTATGAATTATATTAGGCTAAATTTTAAAAAAATAAAATAATTCTTTTATATTTGATAGAAATAAAAAGAAAAAACAAACCTCAGTAAATCTTCGATCATTTTTATCTGCTGTGATAACACGATTCCAAAAATGAATAGAACCTAAGTAGAAAGGGAAAAAAAAAGTCAATTTATAATTTTCTTTCTTTTTCCATAACGAATAAAGAGGAAAAAACCTGGATCGACATTTGATTGTTTAAATATTGGTAATGATTGTCGTGGTGCTTGAGAAATAATCTTCACAACAAAATAGTTTTAGAGTAAAAAAAAAAAAGTCTTTTCTTTAAAAGCATACTTGATGACTAAATGCCGGTTTACGTCTCGATCTTTTTTCAGTTGATAATAATGATACATTTTTTGGTGGTGCTTCACTTTTACTGGCTGTTTCTAAATGTAAAACAGAAAACGTTATTTAAAAAAAAAAAGATGATTGATGATATCTATAAACAAACCTTCACTATGTGCTTCATTTAAATGACTAATTAATTCTGGCAAGCTAGTGCCATTGAAACTACATTCAGGACAAATAAACGCTGTACCATCTGTGTCGACAGTAGTATCCATCATCATTTTTGTTATTTTTCTTATCTGAAATAAAATTTACGAAAACGAAATAGAATTGACCATCGACAAGATTACTGCCTCTCTCTCTTCTTCTAATACAATGATTGTGCGCGTGTATACTGCCGTTGTCTATCATTAGAAGAAAAAGGAAAAAAGAAGAATAGATGTATGTGCGTCATGTGGGGAGAGACAGACAAAACAACAAGACATGCAGTAGGAGATAGATTATGTATTTTGAATCTTTTTTTTCTTAGACATAGAATATACATGGTCAAAATAATATTATTTTCTTCAATGTATAGTCTTTTTTTCAAAAAAAAAAAGATAAATGAATATAGTATTTGTATATCTGTTTATGCACATAGTGTTCTTTCTGTTTCAAGTAAACAACAGACACATACCTTAGTAGTTACCTCAATCTTTCTTTTTTTCTCTTTCCCTTTGTATGCAACATCGAACGAGTATAGTTAGAATGTCTGCCAAGGTTCGCGCGTAATGTGCTCTGGCACAGCCGACAACTATTGCAGCTTGCTTCGACGGGAAGCAACATTGTCAATTTCTTGCCTGTTCTTCCTCTCTGCTTTTGGGAAGAGAGTGCAAGTAAGGGCATATGCACGACTTAACTATAGATGCTGCCTGAAGAATGAAAGCAAGTACTCATGCCCAACATCATATAATGATGATAGTGATGATGATGAAAAAGAATAGCGCAAGTAGAAATGGTGTCTATGTTAAGAAAAAAAGAAACGAGCACATGTAATAAGGATGGACTTGGCCAACTGTTTTTTCTTTTTACTAGACATATAAAGACAGCCATAAATCATACACATCACCCGCTACTTTCACATTATAAAACGAGATGTAAAATCAGAAAAAAAAAATACATAATACATTAGAATAGAAGAAAAAAAGAACTATATCCATCAATCGATTACTCGAACTGGACATAAAAAAGGATGAATAAAGACAAGAAGAAGAAGAACAATAACTATCTACTACATCATGTCACCTTTCTATTTTGACCAATCTCTTTCCTCTCCTCTCTCGTTCTTTCCTCATTTCCTACGACTTCCTGCGCCCTTATTTCATTAGATCACATGTCCTTTAATGCTGACAGAAAAATGGAAAAAATATTCCTTTTCCCATCATCATTGATACAATCTATAGTATAAATTTTCGTTATTCAAGCATTGTTTTTTTCATCTACTTAATTAAAGCAACTTTTTTCTTAAAAAAAAAAACAAAAAAAAAAAAACAAAAAAAAAAAAAATTGCTAATGAATTTTACCTAATGAAAACGATCTTAATCAATTACTTCGTCAGTCATTTAAATGATGAAAATAATACAAGCTTACTTAACGTGTATCTATTTTTCGTATAACAATGTATGCATGGTATTTGTTTCAAACAAGTAACAATCGTTACTGTTATAACCCTTACTATAGCGGGTTGTTTACTGAATGAATTCTTCTCTTTTTCCCCTACCCTTTTATTCGTTCGCCCATCTCCTAGATTGCTGCTGCTGCTGCTATTACTATTCTATACTGGTGCGTATGCCGAGGAAGAGAACACGTCCGCTCGCTTGCAAGGATAGAAGAGCACAAGCACGCATACACACACATACTAAAAGCCAATGCATTTGTTTGCCCGTTCATCACATCGTATGGACGGACGGAGGAATAGATGGATAGACGAGAGGAGAATATAAGCGAACGAAGAATCGAACGACGATTATCATCTTCTCAGATGCTTCCCGAAAGCAATGGTCGACAGGCTGACTGTAAGCGTGCATACGGCGTCAGCTTTTCTCTTTTGTCTGTCCGTGTTCTCGACACAGGTAGATGTGAGAATGAGTGGGTGTATATGCTTGCTGCGAAAGAGAAGAACAGACGAATGAGGCAATGGCTGATAGTTAGTCTACTGAGAGAGATCGGGAGAAACGATTGCAACCAGTAGGAATACCGACATTTTACTTGATGATTGCGTGATAAAGTAAACTGATGTTGTGCGTCGTATGAATGTGTGAAATGCAAAAAAATGCCATTTGATATAGAAACAACTTGAGTGTCACAGAAAAAGAAAAAGACTACAAATAAATATTATTTATTGGGTTTTCGATTTTTTAATCAAAAGAAAATATTTTTATTCTATATTCAATAGTAATCTTTTGTTAGAAGAATATTGTTTTTTTTTGTTTCTTTTTTTAATCAAAACAAATATATTTTAACACTTCTCTTTATAATATAATATTATGAATAAGTTATTTAAAATGTGTAAAATTGTTGCAGACAACTATCCAGATATTTTATTGATTGTATAGAATATTCCATATTTTGATTGTTCATTTATATTATGTATATATTTGAAATACAATAATGACACATGATCCTTTTGAAATATTCAACTGAAAATGATATTTAAGATATGAAATTCAATGTACTATGTTCAGGAATTTTTGTTTTCATTGAAAAATGTGTTTAGACAATTTAGTCTTTCTCAAGCAGATATTCTTATTGAAAATTGTGATTTTTTATCGCCATTATTGACTATGGTTTTTTTTTGCATCTAGTTTTCTTGCATGTTGACTAGAAAAGTGAATAAACAATCATTTCAATGAAAAATTGTTCAATATATCTCAAAATATTGGATTTTTTAATATTTATGAACGTAAATAAATATTTTTTACCGATTTTTTTCTTGTTAAATTAGATTGTTTTTGTAAAAATTCAAAATGGTTGGTTATCTTCAGTGTTGGATATAGCCGCTTTGCTTGGTCTTATATATAAAAAAAAAATAAATATTATGAAAAAGACTTCCAAATCAATGAGCAATAAATTTAGGTTTGATGAATTGTTTTTCTAGCATGTAAAATATTTCAAGCTGGAAGGTCAAGGACTTCAAAATATTTTCAACTTAATTAAACTCACAAGAAAATTGAATTAGGTTAAAATTTTCTAATTGAAATATTTAACTTTCGCTTTTTTTTGAAGTTTTTCAGGATTAAATTACAAATTGGAAGCATTTTTTCAAGTACACAATAGACTAATTTCTGTATTATCTATTCACTTCACTAAGCATAATAAGAGCAAAAATAACTATTTCATAACAACAGAAGAAGCATGAAGAAGTTGAACCTTTAGAAATACTTCGAGTGCAATATTCATGCATTTAAAAGCATTATCGCTGCACTAGGTTTAAATAATTAAAATAGGAAGAAGTTCATTGTGAGAAGAATTTCACGTGAGTTGCAAGGTATTATCAAACTTTCGAAGTTCCTTATTACTACATTCGTTTTTGTGTTCATTATTAGTTAAAAGTGAAATATAAAAGCCATCAACTTAATCAATCTTTTATTGCTTTTAGCGAAAGTGTAATTATTCTATCAAATTCAAAAAAAGTAGAGTCACTCAAAATGACTTTTTCTTTTTTATACATAAAATAAAAGTTAAAAAAAGAAACCAATTTGTTTATTTATTAATGTTGTTGACTTTGAAATACTTTCTTCATATTATCATTAAATTTCATAAAATGTTTATCAACATCTTCACGTGAGTTCGTTTTTCTTGCTTCATCTGAAAATTTATAATCAATTTCTTGTTTCCATTTTTTAAACGTTCAAATGTTGCTTGACAATATCCAACAAGTGGTTCACCAAATGAATGACTACCACCAAGATTTGTTTGAACAGCTGGTGGTACAATTTCATAAACTTGAATGTTCTTTATTTTGTTCATTAATTAATAGCGAAGACTCATTGTAAATGCATGTATAGCAGCTTTTGTTGCTGAATAAATTGATATTGATGCTAATGGTATAAAAGCTAAACCTGACGATACATTAATGATAGCTGTCGTTGTTTTCATATGTCGAAAATGTCGTATAAATAGATGAGATAAATGCATTGATGCAAATATATTTATTTGAATTTCTTTTTCTCGTTCCTCCTAGGAAATGTTTTCTGAAGATATTTCATTTGAAATAAACGTAGCGCGTTGTTGAATTCCTGCATTATTCATAAGAATATTTGTTTGAGGATATTCACAAGTTATCCATTCATATAAAGCTTGTCTTTTCATTAGGTTTCTCAATATCATTAACACGAAAGATTACTTTTTTTCTTTCCAATTCAATTTAATTCATCAGCAGCTTCTTTTAATCGTTGTTCAGGACGACCTATGATTATAACACTAGTACCTGCTTGAATAAAACATTGTGCAAGATCAAAACTAATACCACTTGAACCACCAGTAATGAGAACAATTGAAGATCCGATATCTAATGATTGTGAATAACACTCATCAGCCATTCTGTGTTTAATCAAATAGAAAATACTTGAATGTGAGCAGTAGAAAGAAAAAAATGTTTAACTACAAAAAGGAAGAATGAGATGGCACGCTCTCACTTTTACATCTAGGTTTTACATAGCACGCACTTAATTTTTTTCTTTTCTTGTTCTGTAGTGGTTGCTTTGCGCAACCATGTCTACTCATTTTTTTTTCTTTAGTTAAATTTCTATGAAGTGTGTCATGCTTAATAAACACACGAAGAAAACAGTACAAATATTTGTTGCTAAATGATACTTTTTAATCTCGTGCAAACGAGTTTCTTTTGTTTTCTAACAATATTACGGTGAGAAAGAAAAGTAATAGTTTTTCTTCTTGTCGTTCATTTACTGACGATTAGATTCAGCATCTATATATTTAGGCATTGAAGGAAAAAAGATATTAACATACTAACGAGTTTTTGAGTAGAAAAAGACTTGCAATCGATTCCGAGTCATATTGTGAAAAAAAAATTCTAATTTTTTTTACATCAGAATGAAACTGATATAGAAAATCAATTTTAATCAGAGACACAAACCATGTTATGGACATTTTACTCATAAAACTATGAGATTATAAGAGTGAGAAACTGTTTTTATTTAATGAATATATCTATGCTGTAAGTTATTCAATTAGTCCATCTAGATTTATTAAAGTTAGCATAAATTGTTCATTGATTGATGAAAAATTCACATAGTAAACATCATTCAATTCTAACCTTAAACGATAAATATAATCTTCCTATAATATTATGGGAATAAATATATGAAGCAATTCATAAAAAGGCGACTTGAATAAAAAAAAACATATGGTTCTATTTATAAAATAGTTGAGTTTAAAATAATTACTTTCATAGTCTGCACCTGATAAATATTTAATCAGCTACAAAATAAAGGATTCAATGTATATAAATAAATATGTGAATGAAAGAGTAGTAATTAAACAAAGAAGATGATTGTTGAAGCAAAAAGTATGATTCGTTGATGAGTAAAAAAACAGATGATTTAAGTACTTGACAAAGGGTCATACAACTCAAGTATGAATCAATAAATGTAAATCTTCAAATAAATTCTGTGCTCATTATAAAAAAATCTATAAAGAAAATATACTTATGCTTATTTACCACTAAGAGTTTTATGTTTTCAGACTTATTTTGTCAAAAGTCATTTTTCTTTTCTGAATTGCTCAACTAATACAACCTATAGGTGGTTTTAGACAAAATATGCAACGATTAAAATTATCAAAAAGCACTTAGTAAAGAAACTAAAAAGCATTTACTTGCCACAAAAATGGCACTATATACGATGAAACTAGAACAGGCGAAACGGTGAACATCTTGTTTAGAAGCATAATGCGTACTCGTCTATGTCAGCAAGCGTGATGAACATTAGGAAAAAGTTTTCTCTGTAGAAAAGGGAACACAAACTTTATAAGAAGCTCATTCTTTTGCTAATGTATTCCACTATTCAATGAATTTTTTGTTCTCTGCATGCATTAAATCATCTATTATTTCCCTTTTTTTAACCTCCTACATCCCTTCTAGTTTCTTCGTTTATTGCAGTAAAAAAAATTTTAAGACGCCCTTTCCCTTTCCAGACACATTATTTTGTTTTTCTTTTGCTCTACATCTACTTCTAGGCGTCCTCTATCTATCAGACCTGTTTGAAAAACTCAAATATACTTTTAAAGTTAAGAGAAAAGAAGTCGCAAAGATAAACGTTTTCTATATGAAAATAGTACTGGGAGTATTTTTATCGGAGTGTTCTAAGAATCTCTTTTAACGAAAAGCATGCAGTATTTTTCGCGTGTCTTAAACATCGAACATTCAATCGCGTTGCAACTTCTGTCATGAATATCAGATAGTATTTTCAATGTAAAAAAGGAAGAAAGATAAAAAGAAATCAAAAACGTAGACGATCGAAAGCTTTTCTAGTATCTATGAAAGAATTCCAGTTTAAATGAATGTACTACCTCAGAGAAACGGATCCGCAGAAGCAAATGAAGCTGTTATGACCTACATATCTCCGTGAAGAAAGTATCTGGGAATTTGAAGTCCTTTCAACTTTTACTGTACTCATTGAGATCTATGAACTGTTTAGGTTTCAATTCCTTCTGATAAGTCGTTCTTCGAAAGTATCGGAATGAATGGTGTCCTCATAAATAAGACAAAACTAATATGTTTTTTTTGTTGTCATTGAAATGATCATAAGGATAAAATGAAAAATCGTTGATGAGGCCACGAAATTTTTTGTAAAACTATGAATATTTATTATTATTTCTTCGATTATCCGTTGCTCTAGATTAGAGATGTACAGAGACCGAGATCAAATCAAGAGTCTCGATCTACATCAATGGCAATTAGGTTTAGAGGAAGATTAGTCATCGTTCCACTAGACAGTAGCTAGTAACCCAAAATTTAACAATTTGATTTTCTGATGGAGGAATCCGAATCTATACATAATTGTTCAAATTTTTGAATTCGATTTCTTAATCAGGAAAGAGTCTGTTAGCGAACATAACGATGCTTTATAAAACTTGCCGAAATCATAGAAAAGTGGTCGTCTCTGTCTAAAAATGACTCAGCTCGAAAACTTCGATAAACCATCTGTGGCTTCGAATTCCTCAATCTCAACAATCTTTAAACAAGTTGTATAAAAATGAATTGTCGTTTTCTTAAAATAGACGTACCTTGACTAAAAAGTCCTATTGATAGTGGTTCCATTACTGCTACTCAGTAACACAAGGGTAATTGAATACTCCTACTTATAGAGAAGCATTTAGAAATTTCGATTTGATGACAATTTTTGATCTATTCATCGAGATTTGCTCGTCCCAAATTAAAGAAAATTTGTTTAAGATCAATTTTCTAAGAGCTCTAAAAAGAAAAATCTTTCTCTTAAAACTAAAACCGAGATTATTAGAAACAAAATTTCTTGATTTCAATACATGCCTAGTCTAGATAAGTAGAGTACTACTGATACAAAACTGTGTAAACTACATACCATCCATATTAAACAGGCACTGTTCTAATCTACTCTATATACAGAAATGCGACCATCTACATCGACTAGTATGACGCTCTTTTATCCTCTTATCATATAAGGATAGATATGTTAAAATACAATGATAAAAAGCATTCATTTACTGTCTTTGTACAAGGAAGCTGCATGCATTTTCTATTTTACTCCATTATACGATCATGAAGATCAATGATGGTAATGCTGAGCTATTAGATACGATAAAATATCAATGCATACTGAGAAATACGAAATGTATACGGACTTCCTATTCGTCCATCTGGATGTTCTACACTTAATTCATACATAATTCATGTATATTATGTTTAGATACATTCTCAATAAACTCAGAAGCGATGCCAAGTTGTTCAATAAATTGTCTTAAAAACGTGTGCTCTCCAACCTAATTATTTTTTTCTTCTCATTTTTTGCTAATATTGTTTTAGTTTTTTCCACCTTGTTGAACTTTATTTTTATTTTTATTTTTTTCTATTCTCTTAAATAATTAATGCTGTTCAGGTGAGTGCATTCGGTTCGGATCCGGTCGGAAAACTTCAGAAATCGGTGGAGTGTGGAAGTAATAGTTCAGGCCAGAAAGTCATCGAAAAAATCAGCAACTTTCCAGTTCGGATCACTGCTTCCGCATTCCATCGATTTATGGAGTTTTTCGGTTGAATATTATGATTTTTCTATATTTTTTCAAGCAGTTCCGACAAAACTCGCTTGTTTCCATAGGTTGCAATTATCGATCTAGTTACGTACAACATAATAAGAATATGAGATTGTTTCTATTTATATCATATTTAAATTGTCGCTTAAAATGTTGTGTAAATTGTTGCCGTGGGTGAGTATTAAGTCAAACAATGAATCTTAGCGTGATATTTCTTTCTTGCAATTCTTTTCTCCTTCTTATACGGACTATTTTTTAAAGTTTTTACGATAGAGTTTGTGTCGAATACTGTAAATAGCTATGCTGATAAGAAATTTCATGTCAATTCACATTACATCATTGATAATCATCGTCTATTTTTTGTTCTGAATCTTTGGCTAACTTCATTATTTGGTTCTAGTATTTTTTTTATGTTCTTGGATTGAATATATTGTTCATTCGCGTTCCAAACGCAATCTAAGTTTTCAGAGATGGAATCTATTCGATTTGATTGCATCTCTGAAATCTATATACCATTTGAATTTAGTTTTTGCGAAAAAATTGACTAATCATTCATACACTACTTATATAATAGATTTGATCAATCATGTAAAACTCAGTATAACAAAAGAGATACTTCAGAGAATATGATCGATGATAGCTACATTTTATTGGAAAACAATTACTCGAGAAACTTTTTCATAGATTTGGGAATCGTATTGTATAATTCATGATAAATAATGGTATATTATTTATCGTAAAACAAGGTTTCAATGAAACACATGGGGACAAAATAATAATTTGTGATTGAAAACTGTGATGTTGTAGTTGCATGTTTGAACATATTTCAAAATCTGTAGTTCATTATATAATTCTAGCTTCGAACGTTATTAAACAGTTAAAATTTCGAAGTGAAAATTCACAATTAAAATCAACAAATTCATGCTGTGTGTTTTTTTTTGTTAATCTAATTTTTGCATCAATACATGGTCATGATCACTATGATGCAAATGATATTTGAATTCTTACTTTTATCAAAGGAACCCAAGTTTTTTCTATGTAAATAAGTCTATTATAGAGTTAGTTTTTTTCAATGATTCGTCAGATAACAATGGAAATTCCAAACGATCTAAATTTCTTTCATATGTACACATTCATGCTATGTGCAAATAATTAAGAAAAACGTAGTCCTAACCAAAAGTAAATCATCTATAGACATTTCCAAAGAAAAAAGAAAACATCATTATAAACATTATTATCACTAGTCCTTGCGCAAAAAGATGTTGATTTAGACAATCATTGCACGAGCAACACGAGT